GGGGCGGGGGTGAATCAGAAGAGAGGAGAGGCTTGGACAATCTGGCTCTCCGGTTGACTTGCTCTGGGCCCCAGCACCTGCTGCCACTGGGGGTATTTTTGCCCACCAGGCTGTATGAGAATCACAGGGTTGTCCAGTACTATCCAGCCAAGCAGGCTGGCAGACATAAGCATGCATCCAACCGGAGTGCACTTGTGGGCAAAGCCCGGCCGCACACCAGCCTTGGTGGTTTCTGACTTTGTAGGACCCTGTGGGTCCCCCAAACTGCATTTCTCCCAGGTTCTCGGTGCTGCGCCGGAATCTTATTTGGATCCCCTCCACCCCCGACCTCACTCGCCCTCCCACTGGATCCGCTGCAGTGCCAAAGGTTCTTTTAGGTTCCAGCGAAAGCGGGGACTCTCCCCGCACCTGAGCTCCCCCCGCCGGCCGGCCACCCCGCCATGCACCGCCACAGGTAGGCAGGTGCTTCTGGGAGGCGGCGCTGCGCGGGGGGCGGTGCGGGAGGCGGGCGGGGGCGGTGCCGCGGTTGGCGCGGCTAGCAGGGCGGGGTGCGGCGCACCTTGCTCCCGGGAGCCCCGCGTCCGCCCCTCCCGCCCCCGGGACGCCTCCGGCCGCTTCCGTCCTCACGGGCCCCGCGTGGGAGGACGATGGGTCATCGCGGAAAAAGTGAATGAGGACGGCGGCGCGGCAGCTGGGCCTCTCTCCGCCCGCCGAGCCCAGTGCAGCCCGCAGGCTCCATGGAGGCGCACCACGCCCTGGCGGCCAAGCCCCCCAGCGGGTAAGCGGGGTGCAGGGGTGAGGGAGCGGGTACCGGGACGTGGGGGATCCGGGGGCTGTGGACTTGGGGCTCCCTGGGCGTTGCTCGGGTAACTGTGGCCGGCCTGGCCCCGAACACTTTCTACGGGAGTAGGGGAGCTCTTTAGGGGTCCCCGCGTGCAGAACCGTAGCTCGGAGCCTCCCCGTCTCCTGCGCGGTGGCCGGCGCAGGCTGAGGGGCAGCGGGTCCCGGGCCTCTGGCTCCAGGGGTGCGGTGTGGTCCTGGGCGAGGTTCCTCCAGACACCCCTGGAGCACTGTGGTCCCTGCTCCCCGCAACACGACTGGAGGGAACGCGGACTGGGAGGCGGACCTGGCCAGGCCATCTCGGGAGGCTTGTAGGGAAGGGGATTTCTGACCACTCTTCTGCCTTGCCTTGCCCGGTTGTCCCTTGGCAGTCCTAGAGCGCAGAGGTGAGGACCCCTACGCACGATCTGGAGTCAGGGCTGCAGTCCCTGTCCTCCTGACTCCTCTTCTGCACCAACCTTTCCGGTTTCTTTTTGCTTGTCCACATCTTGGGGGCAGAGATTCCATGCCACATTCAGGATTCTACTTACAGAAAGAGGAACTTCCCTAACACAGGACAAACAATCCTGCCTTTTAACTCAAGGTTGTGCCAGGCTGAACCAGAACCGAGCCCATAGGTGCCCATATGCCGACCAGGCCCGAGTCTGCAGCGCCACGGGGTCAGCGCAGGTTTTGTGGACTTGGTGGATTGCAGCGCCTGGCGCGGTAGACCTGCCACCTCTCGCTCGCTCACTGGGGCAAATGTGTTATGAGTGTTTCGAATGGAATGAATTGGGGTGGGCCTGCACCTGCTCACCCAATGGCCCACTTTCCACTGGAGCAACTGGATCGTGCAACAAATCCCCTTTCTTTTGCAGTTGTGTCCCACTGACTCACCCTTTCCTATGTCCTTACATGGTCTTGCCCAAGTGTACAAGTGGTTTTTAAGCTAGTTCTTTATTATTTAAAATCTTTCTTGAATGCTAGCAAAAACAAGCCACATAATTCATATAATCTTGAAGCTGAGGAATGTTAAAAACCCCTTTGCCCACTACACTTTGGGTTCGGTTATATAATTTCTCTCTAACAAACAAATTCCCATCAAAGAAACTAAATAGGCATCCCAGATAATAATGTGGGGAGATGTAAAAAAAAAAATTACTTTTAAACCTGTGGCTTTCCTAGCTTTAAATAAGCCTGTTTAAGGGAACTGAATTATTTTATCACTATTACTTTATAAATAAACATGAAGGGAATATTTGAGAGGACTGCACAATTCCAAGAGTGATTAAAGAAATCCTTGAAACCACTCTCTCCAATTTGCTCCTGTTCCAGGGGAACCTGCTTTCCTAGGCTCCTAAGTCATAAAGGAAAGCTAGGCCTCCAGCTAAGGATGTGATTGTGGGTTTAAAGTGCTTGTTTCTGACTCAGTTGATTTTCACACTCACAGCATCTTAATCGCTTCCTTCAACCTCTTTGTCCAAGAAACGTGGACCTGTCTTTAGTTTCTGTTATTCTGTTATTTGTTTTGATGTTGCTTCACTTCTTTATTCTTTTATCAAAGAAACATCAAAAATATAAATAGGCCTATATTTTTCAGCGAAGATGTACAAGTTTAGTATAAAGTATATGTGTATGAATCTGAGGAAAGAAATGGCACTAGGATTTTGGATATTTTATATTGTTCAGCTGTATGGCTTGCCTGCCTTAAAGGATTGTGAAATTTCAGCCTTCAGTGTGTTATCAGCAGCAATCAGATTCTGTTGGCTTGAATCTGAAATTACTGTTTTCTTTGTCCCTCGAGAATAGGCAGTGTTTGCAGTGCGCTTGAGAGAAGTTTGTTTTCTATCTGATACTAGAGAGGTTAGTTATAAAATCAAACTTTGTGTGTTATCATTTTCCCACGTGACAATGAACAACTGATGTGATGAATTTGTTGTAATTATTGATGGAAATTCAGAGTCATCGTATGCTGCATGGACTGCTCAGAATGGGCAGGAGACGGCATGTTATAAAATGTGGCCTGCAGAGCTCTCCTGGAGGATCACTGTAGGGACAGATGGGCTGATGAATGTCAACTCATCTCGATGACTTATTAGCTTTGCTAAAACAAATGCAAATTGTGCCTGGATTGAGATAATAGTCATTAATAATTTCATTAAAACATTGAGAGTAAGGAGTGTCTGTTTGGGAAGGGGGTTGTGTGCAGAAACTGGCAAGTTGGACTTTATATGCTGCTTAGGGAATTTTAGAGCTCAGGGGTGTGTGTGTGTGTGTGTCCGCACATGGAGATTGGAGATCAACTTTTGGCAGTCAGTTCTGTCTCTCTGCTGTGGGTTCTGAAGATTGAACTCAGGTCAACAGGCCTGTTCAGGGAGCCTTTTTCCCACTGAACAGGTGGTCAACAGGCCTGAGAGCGCTAGTTTTGAGTAATTTGAGTGTAATAGCTGACAGAATCTGGAACACAGATTCAGGAAAATGGCCTTTTGATGAAGTTTTAAAATATATTTAAATCCATCCTTTGTGTTTCGTTGGATTTGTTTGAGCATTTGTGGGATTCATCCTAGGAGTTGGTTGTTAAGGAATTAGGGACTGAATTTTGCACTGACAGAGCACCATATGAATAAGGAAGAGTCTTTAGCATCTAGCAGGATGGTGAATACTGATTACCGCCCCCCCCCACCTTGAGGAACTTAATTGTGTAGAATTGAAATTCAACACGGGGCACATTTGAGCAAAGGCTGTGTTTAAACAGTTTGCTTTAACAACAGCAACAAAAAACAGTGAGCTTTACATATATATAGCTGTTTTTTCTGCATATATTTGTTTTTAATCAACTTGCTAGAACAAGAATTAAGTGGGTTTTCATGTTTGGAGATAAGGTATCCCTATGTAGCCCGGGCTGCCCTTGAACTTTCCATCTCACTGCCTCAGGGGTCTAGAATGCTGTGATGGCAAGCATGTGTCAGCATGTGCAACTCAAAGTAGGTAACTTGAGCCATTCTTAGCTGTCAGTAGCCAAACAATATCAAGTAGAGAGGGCCTGTCCCTTTGATGGCTCTATGGCTAACCACAGTCCTGTTTTGTATCAAACCGTTGTGTTTTGATATTAAGGAAATAGTATCAACCCATATCATGAGGTGCTTAGGTTCTCAGCCCCCCACCCCCATAGCTTTTAGCTCACATGGTGGAGAATGTTTATATTCTTACAAATGAGAATGTAATTATTATCTGTTACATAAAACTTCAGCACTGAATTTGAACTGTATTTTTAAAAGGTGTTACTTCAGAGCTACTTTTTATTTCATCGATCCACTTAAATAATGTTAAATTTCACTGTGTGGAGACTTTGCCTAGGAATTTTGTTTTTTGTAGTTGTAATTTTTATTCACAAGAGGAATTAAACATTTCCATGTCACAATGTCAAAGAATCACAGAACATTGTTATTGCTTTTCACTGGTTGTATTGTGATGAACCTGAAGGACCCGAAGAACTACTAAAATTTGGGACCAAGGTGTTTGTAAAATGTTGAGTCATTCCTGTCTTTGGGACTCCAGAATGCAGATCATCCTTGGGTTTTCACTCATGATCTCACATACATGAGAAGATCAAATTATTACCTGGCGGCACTGTGACCCAGGAAGGGTGACAGCCCCCACATTTATACCAGCCTGGATTCTGTGGTCTCTTTAATTTGGGACTTGAGAAATGAGGTCATAACTTGTGTGCATCCAAGTATGTGCCCATAACTATTAAGAAAACAGTCATTATAGGATGTATCTATACACTGTAATAACTAGCTTAAGATCCTACGCTTTGTTGTACTTTGTGATTAAATCTATGATTACATTCATTTTTACAGTTGATCAAAAATTTTAAAAACAGAAATATTTGATATCAAATCAGATTTGAAATATGGCAACATGCAATTCCGTTTAGATTTTAATTAAATAAACACATTTAACAGTGTGTTTATCTTTATTAAAGACTTATTTTTATTTTATGTGTAGGAGTATTTGCCAGCATGTATGTATACTATGTGTGTCTGTTGTCTGAGGAGGCCAGAGCCCCAGGAACTGGAGTTAGGGCCAGTTGTGAGCTGCCATGTGGAGGCTGGGAACTGAACCTGGATCCTCTGAAGGAGCAAAATGATCTTAACTACTGAGCCATCTCTCCAACCCCTAGACAGTGTATGCATTATGTGGTGCCTCTCTAGATGCCCTCGGTCCTCATCCACATTTAGCAATGGAGGTCGTGGATTTTATGTGTCAGCTAATCTTAGTGATGTATTTTAATTACCTTGCACTGTAGCCAAGAACATAGCTGTCATACTGCAGGACCCACTGAACCATTTGATATATTTTCTTCTTTTGGTACTTACTTAAACTATTTAATATTGATTTATAGTATCGATATCTGTAACGTATTTTTTGCTTTTTATGATTTTCATTTACTTAAGTGAATTGTAAATTTTAGTCTTTACCCCTCCCCGATTTGTGTCTTTGCTGTCTTCCTTCTGTCTTGCCACGGGAGTATCTCTGTGTTGGTCGAAGGGCCATTTGCTGGTTTACATTTTTCCTTTCTATCATTCTGTATTTTCGACTTGTCTCGTGCTGGGGTGTTATTATGTGTGCTTGATAAGATTTTAGTCACTTTTTACAAAACTAGGAATAGTGGATGCTTTGGAGACTAATGCTCATCATTGTAGAGTCCTAGGTTTCTGAGGTTTCCTGAGGGCCTTGCAGTTGCAATGTTAGTGGTTCTCTAACAGTGAATGCATCTCCTATTGCCCATCTCCAGGACCTTGCCCATGGTTCTGACCAAGTTCATTTACGGAAAGATGGCTTTTTCCCAGCTCACAGCAATCTATGCTAACTTAGGATTTTAACATCATCCATCTCGTCTCTCACCAGGAGGTGAACTGCTTCTGGCCAGGACTGTTCCCCAGGCCAAGTACA